TCTCTCGGACGGCGAGGAAGTGAAAGCCTCTCGGGTCTTTCCAGTCTGACAGTCGTAATGCGAAATCCATGAAAAATACAGAGTAGCGGAACCGCCCCCCTATGTTTCTTGTGTACATTTGTCTCTCACCTGCCAGAACTTCCATAAAGATCCATGGCAAGTAAGAAGGATTAGGGGTTTTCCCCCCTCATTGCCCTCTTATATCCTCATTTTCGTGTCTCTTCCACTCGCTTGGGCCCCCCCCTGCCCCCCCCCCCCTCCGCCCCCCTGCCTGGCAGCCCCCCTATGAATAATTCCTGAAAACATATGTCGTGTCTGATACCCTGGGAAATCAGATAAACCATCACTGTCGGGAATATTTCCTGCTCGTCTTTCCGGGTTCTTTTTGCATAAAAGGAATAACAATCTGACCAAATATGCAAATTAGACTCTAATTTCAATATTTTTAGGAGACGATATCAGCTCTAATGAAACTAATTTGGCTGTCATAGATACCATAATGTATGGTTGAATCCTTTGCTTCAACACAAGCACTTCGTGACTGAATTTATGGGCGAAATATGTGTAACGGAACTACAAACAGTTTTTGGTGAGCGAAAAGGTTAAAGGTCCGTTTGTATGGTCACGGCGCCATTTCATCAATGTGTGTGACTGTGCACCCATTCATGTGTGCAAAAAAAACCCATCGGCAATCTTTATTGACTGCTTCCAGGAGAAAATTTGAAGGGCCAAAGGAAAAGTGGTCATTGGCAAAAAGTTATTTCCTCGAGCTCCATAAGGAAAGTGAATAGTGGTCGTCTTCTTCGAAGCGAAGAAAAGTGGTCTGCGTTTTAGACCCTTACATAAATTGCCAAACTATCATCTTCGATGGAAGGGAATAGGGTCATGTGCATTAAACCAACGATACTTTCAACGGACATTTCCCGCTGATTCTCGACTTTTCCTTTCAGCCCTTCGATCTTCGACGTCATGCCTGTATAGTACAGTACAATAGTATGATAATGCTCTTATAGTATAATAGTTGTAAGGAATCCAGGATGAGCATCGCGGTCGGCACCATGTTCATACCGAATCGGGTTGGGGAAGATTCCGGACGAAGTCGTTTACGCAAGTGATGGAAGTTCCCAACCGATTGCAGCGGAGTTTTCGTAGAGAAAGCAGGGACAGCGTCATGTTTGCATGCATTTCTGATGAATTCTCGATGAATTCCTAATGAATTGGTAAGCCTTATAGTGGAGAACGGAGAAAGCAACATTTCTGGACGATTTGCTTGATGCCTTGCGCGATTGTCCAATGGTCTGAGTAAAAATGATATAAAATGGACAAAAAATTTACATTCATTTTACGTAAAATTAACATAAACATGCTGTTTCCGTGAATCACTTTCCGTGAATCTCCCCTTCGTTGGACTTTCTTTGCTAAAGTTGTGAATCGTGAGCTCCTGTTGTATGATTTACCAAGTAAATGCTTTTAAGCATTTACAAGGTGCATTTTTAGAGATTTGAAAAACCTTAGACGAGGTCCTAGGTAGGACACAACGTTGGGTGCACGTTGGCTGTGAGTGGGGGAGCGTGGGCCCTCATCGCAGTGGGTTGTCCATGTAGGCCCCACGTTGACGCTAGGGGGGCAGCCAACATTTGTCATGTTTCAGGATGAGACATCTATCTCAGTTATTTGAACAAAAAGCTTCCCGCAGATGATGCGAGATGGCGCCTATGAAGCAGCTATTTTAGAGTAATCGGGGAATGAATGATTAATTTAAGATCCCCGTATCTTTTATACAGTACTTGATCTTTTCCCCTAGGGTACATGAGGGAAAACACTCGAATTTCTCAAATCATTTGTCTAAGCAGTCCAAGGAGACTCCTGTTAATTGTGGAGGAGGCACGGTTCAAAATTGGGGCTTCATTCGATTGGGCGAAGATAAAAAACACCGGTTATTTTCGATTCTGTAGGTTACGTTTGGCTCCCCTTCAAGGATTAATAGATTCGGGTGTGATAAAAGAGATGATCACCCGAGTCTTACCTGATAAGTGCTTCCATAGCAAGAGAAAAGAGCCATATGAGTGGTGAATGAAATCACAATGGGGTTCAAATCCCGTGCGGAAAGTGAAGGTTTCTAAATATGACAATCGCAGGAAGTAGGAGGTACTTCCAGCCAGACCGAGAGACCCTCGGTGGCAAGGTCCTCGGTAGGGGAACTGATGTACAAATATAGAATTTCTCTCGTAACCTCATTTAATCGCCTGAATGTCATTCGGATGATCCAGAGCTTGTTTATTCTGCTTATTACGGATTGCGATGCATTTTTCTGCCTCGATTAATGATCTGAACCGTCACAACTTGTGCCGAGCGCAGTCACTCTGGGATAGTTTAAATCCGGTAAAGTTCTTTCTATCAAGCCACGGGAATCGAATTCAATCACTAGTCAGGTAAACAGGGTCATATGAATACATCAGCACACAACACTCTGGTCAGTCATGTGAGCAGATTGTTGTTCCTGGGCACAAGACGATGGATCCATTGTCTTGTACCCAGGATAAAATATATTTTATACCTATAGTAACAGGTATGAAGATACCTATCAAAATAAGCCTCACGATGGATACCTATAAATTGTTTTTGCATACGGAACCTAGCAACTTTTAGACTGATCGCCTGATACCTATCATGATAGCTATCATGTAATAGGTCATCAAGTGATAGGTTCTTGCATACGGGACAAAGACTTGTCATTTTTACATCGCTTTGACTCATGAGAGGAAAGGACAAAGATGGGAACTTTATGGAAATGGCTCCATTTAGTTTAACCACCAGAATTAAAATATATTACAATTCACTATTTCACTATTGAAGGTGGCAGGCAGATTCCAAAATGAAAAAGTCCTCATTGAAAATCACCTGACATTGTTTGACGGCACTCCAAGAGATTGAATATTATTTTTAGGAGAGGCTTCTGCTTCTTCGGTTACATAAATTGCAGATTTTGAATAAAGAAGAAAACTGAAATTTTAAGGGTACATGTTTAGCTTAAATGGCTCAACGAGCTCCCCAGATTTTTGCTGTTCGGAAATCACAACCGGAAGATCATTCTAGAGTTTGCATTTTAGGGCGACATGCCAACTTAAGTACATATCTAAGTACTCTCATCTGCCTGGTTTAGGTCCTTCGTTGTACGGTATATATGCAGTGAATTAGAAGGTTGCCATTGGAGACGCGGTAGAACCCTCTATGCGACAGAAAAAATGTATAGATTGATTTCGCATCGAATCGGTACCCGCATAGGTTCCATCGATTGCTGGCTTGTGCGTCTTGCGTGAGTGCGGTTAAATATAAATAGCTTTCTTAATCCCCAATTTATCTCGGATCCCCAATCTATGGATCCCCGCACGATTTTCCGGTTTGGAATCGCCCTCGCAACTATCAGGATTGGGGCGATCTCGTTGCCATAAATAGCATTGTTTGATTTGATAAGTGCTCCAGTTTTCATTCTTTTTCACTTGCATACAAAGGCCAGACGGCTCAAACAATGAAAATTTCGCATGCAAAGGATTCCATTTCCGCTTGATTTGGCCTTGATTTTATCGATGGCATTCGTGTTTCTGACGCGGACGGAAGGGTCAGCGAAGGAAGTGGAACAAGGTACAGGGTGTCCGAAAAGTAGTATACGGATTTGCCCATCGAATAACATTTGACATATTGGCGAGATCACTTTTCTCTCTTTTGTAGGTTGTAAAGTGGACCTTGGAGTTTTATTATTTGATTCTACGTGTTACAAGCTGCGACTGCTGCGAGGTCTTCCAGATACTGGTCGATCAGCATTACCACTATTGGCACAAAAATGTGCAACACACCAACGAATAACATGTTGAGAAGGTGCTTCACTAACACTGAACCGTCGATTGTAGGCGCGCCGAGCTTCAAAAATGGAGTGTCTGTTAGAAAAGTAAAACTCCGCAATAGCTACATTTTGTTCGACTGATCATCAGATTCATCAAAAAATTCCAAGGTCCACTCTACAATCGACAAAAGAGAGAAATGTCAGAAGTTATTCGATAGACAATTATCTTCGCTACCTTCTGCACATTGACAAGAAATCAAATAAGAAAAAAGGAATATTGGCCATCCAAAGTAGAAAGGTAGCAAAGGGAAAGGAGGAAAAGGGAGATTAGAACGGGATGGGGAAATTGGATGCCGGCCGGAGCCACGGGAGGCGGGACCGAAGTCTCTCGCACCTGTGGCTGGCAGCGTTTTACCTCGTCTTTCCTGTCGGCTGTAATGCGCCTTTTCCTTCCGAGATCGACCGTGTGATTACATGATGGATTCCGCGGTGCTTCTCTCTTTGAGGGGTCTGCGAGCTCCAGTGGAACAGATGATGTTCGATGGCATTCAACGATTTTCGAGGGCGGAATACTACTTTACTCGTATCACGGAAGAAAGAGGTCCAGAGAACTTATTAATTTCCCTCCGTGTTTTTATTTATTTATTTAAATTATGCTATTGTATTCACCTGAGAATAAAAGCGCATTTCGTTCTCTATGGTCCATCTCAAAAGCGCAATTATCTCAGACCATTGGACAATCGCGCAAGGCATCAAGCAAATCGTCCAGAAATGTTGCTTTCTCCGTTCTCCACTATAAGGCTTACCAATTCATTAGGAATTCATCGAGAATTCATCAGAAATGCATGCAAACATGACGCTGTCCCTGCTTTCTCTACGAAAACTCCGCTGCAATCGCAAGAAATTTACATTGTTTGCAAAAAATTGATATTTTGTTTACGTGAACATGCTGCTTGGGGAATTGCACGTAGTCACCTTCACCACATCCATGACTAGAAAATCCTTTTTCTATCCCATTGCTCATGTGCGACCAGCGCCATATTCATTTAACTTGACTGATTTAATGAATGTCTCCTTTGAGAATCAATTTAAATGAGTTAATGCGCTTCCCGTGTAATCCCCTTATGGAAATGAATCCACTCGAGTTAATGCTTTCTGATCAACCCATGCCTCCAGAGAACATGGGAATCATTAAATGGAGTGATGTGACAAAACTAAGAATGAAACTTGTGTCTGATTTTCCACCCGACAAAGGCTGGTCATCATGGAAGAGGAAAACCTGCGACAAAGATAATCATGAAAATGAAAAGAAATGATAAAAAATTCCGTTCTCTACGAGTAGCAGGTATCTCAGTTTTCTTGATCAGATCGATCCCCCTGTCTTTGTTTCAACCGTAAACGGTCAACCGAAATCTCTGCCTGCAGAAGAAAAGAGACAGCTGCAGCAACCATTTTAAAAGCAAGTAGATCGCAAGCCCCATAATTATTTCGCATCACCTTCTTGAGGATAGCAGTGGCCATCGCGATGATATCTTTCCACTGAGAGATTTCCTGCCGATGCAGTGTTTCCTTGTACTTGAGAACTTCTGCCAAGACTGCATCCGATGACATCTTCTCACCAGACACCAGCTCATCTCTATTAAAACCCTCTGACGCATCAAGCAATCGGCACTGTTTCCACAAGTCATGAAAAGGAATGACTCACTGAAACGCGACGATAGGTCTACTTGAAAGTTTTGCCTGATCCTCAACGATTCTCAGCTGGTAGAATAGGCAGACGTTGGAGATAAGGATCCCCGTGAGTAGAATGGCGATCATTTTCAAGAGACCAGGGGAAGATAAATACGTCGATCTCTCCTTTCGTGATATCATCCGATGACCTAGAAGAGTGTCACACAAACTTGTAAGTTCATGTTTCTGGAAGTTTCTTGCAAAGTAGAAACCCGAGATCAGAGTCAGGCAAAACATACATTGAAAGCGAATTACTCTGTCCTCATCCCTTTTGTGTCTCTTCTTGGTATCATGAAAGCTAATATCTTTATTTCTTCTCTCCAGAAAGAAAATAGAAGGAAAGACCACGTCTCCGAAAACCGATTTTGCTAGTTTCAGGTTTGGAAAATTAAAAACCGGGACCTTTAGACTCAAAGACTCGAAGACCAAAGTAAGAACTCAAAGTTCCTAAGACTCAAATATCGCGATTCATGTTCATCCCCATCCATGATGAAGCAGAGACAATGGTGAACAGATCCAGAAGAAGATGATGAAATCATCTCCTTGATTCGTTCTCTTCGGGAATGAATCAAGGCCAGTAAGTGACTGGCACTTAACCGTATGTTACATCCGTTGCAGACCTGAGGGGCCTTGTGGATCAAGACGCCTGAAGGGCTGCCAATGCCATTGAAAGAATGAGTTCATACATCAAAGTCTTAAATCGCTATTTTCCAAAGCAGACTTCCAATTAATCGTTTTTAATAAGGACTGCGAAAAAGTTGCTTATGCGGTAACCAATAACATTCAATAAGAAAAAAAAGATATTGAAACATTTTAAAATTAAGTGACGACATTCAATAGGTGATTCTGATGGAATTCCACCCAGCACTAAACTTCATATCTTGAGACGAAGATGCGAACTAATAAGCTTCCCAATAACAGATTTAGCTCCCGAGGACTACTCAAACATGATCTACTTGCGTCATCAACGTAAATGGCTCATACGATAAAAAAAAATCAGTCATGATGACGACGGAATTTAGACATGACATGCCCTTGGTGTGAGTAAGGAGAAAAGAAAGCTTCCACTTCGTGGTGCGATCAGGATTAACTTTCTTTAAATATGTTTTGAATCGTTTCTCCTCGTCTTGAAACCAAGCAATGCAAAAGTTTGTGGCATATCGTTCATGAACCGGGAACGAATATGGGAACGAGTTCCAGTCATTAATTGTGTCACAATTAGGAGCAACAGAATAGATGTCAAGCACCGCCCCACTCTCATCCGCGATTGCGTTCCTGTTTACCTCCTCATTCCACAAGCTCTCAAATGAACGACAAGTCTCACTCAGTCGCCGATACGATGGCATTCGGGCGAGTGGGGATTCTGGGCTCTGGGCGTCTCGCGTCTCGTTCGTGTTCAGATCGTGTTCGTGTTCGTGTTCGGATGTCCGTCGTCCCCGGACTTGTGTCATCCCGTCCATGTCCGCTCCAGTAGCTCGAAGTAACTCGGAAGCCAATTGTGCGTAGTGTTCTTCCATTCCGGCGTATGTGTTCTTCTCGATGAAGTCTGCAAGATATCAATGGTTTTTCCTTGTGCCATTCCCCATGTGATGGTGATGATAAATTCTTCAGTTATGAGGGAAATGGATTATATTTAAAAAATACAGTCATCCTCCGACTTGCGTCGTCTCGACTTACGTCGTTTGCCCCCAGACCCAATATATTAAGCCAAGCGCACAATTCGTACCTACGTTGTATTAAGTTGCCCTTACGTCGTCCATGAATTGGTATCTCAACTGCGAGTACTCGGCAACACCGTATTGTCTCGACTAAAGGCGCCGGTCTCGGAACCAATTCCGACGTAACTTCGGGGGATGACTGTATTAATTAAAGGAAATGCACATGAGCCAAGAATAACACCCACTACCCTGTCTACTCTTTCACACAGAAGCATGTGAAAGACAGCAGCAATATCATTACCAGAGCAATATCGTTAACTCGAACACCCTGCAACATCATGAAGTGGACAGGGTCGCGAATTTATTCGCATTGAAGATGCAGATGTACCTGAGAGACATGATTGGCAGTTCCACTGACTTCGATAAGCTTTTTCTTTCAGTTTGAGTGATTGCCATCACTTACATTGTTGTAATAATTACTGTTCGTGTTGCGTTCCGAACAGACCCAACGTTTAATCGAAAATCTACCTGTAACTTAGTTTTCAATCAAGTTGAAAATCATCATACATTAACGCACGCTAATAAGAATCGTGGTCTAATGCAAACTTTCCCCTGCATTTTCCACCCTCAGAACTCACGTGATAAAATCAGAACTTGATTAACGTTTTTAGTACTTTATCACCTCTTAGCAAGGACACTCATACTTTGCAATCCTCTATTTTCTGAGATAGAAATACGTCAAAATTTTCCAAAATTTACAAAGATTTCGTCAAATGAGGTACCGGTTGACTGGTTTCGCTCAGAGGCGTGATATTTATGCGTTTCACGTAACGACCATCTAGTTCTGACGGTTCTGAAAAAGTAACAGTTTTGGAAGTACTGAGAAAACTGAAAAACTGCCTTATATTCGAACTCATCACCAGGCAATAATATTGCAATAATAGTACACTACTAGGAGCTACTTACATAGAACAATTCCTGAAAGTGTTGATGCATAGTCCTTGACTCAAGTACTCGGCTAGGACTGGTGGTACTGTAGCCATCTTAACAAAAGATAGCACCGAAGAGCAGTAATAGCGAAAATTTCTCAATGATTCCTTTCATAACTATTTGGTGGCACTGAATACGATTCCGAAATGCAAATGGTCCCATCTAATGCCTGTATTACTTTTTAAATTTTGTTCAGTACTGAAAGAGAAGGTTCTCAAAAACGTTTGTCGTTACACAAAAACAAGTACTTAGTGTCAAAACCTCATTTTAATCTAAGGAGAAAGATGTCGATGAACCTGTCGCACATACATACTTTTTTTGCAACAACGCTGGTTGTTGCAAAAAAAGTCATGCTCAGGCGAAAATATTTGGGAAAATGCATTGACATGCTTCAAAAACTACTGAATCGAGTTTCCAATATTAGTCATGAGTAGATTATAGGAAGCTGGATATTTCACTCCTTGAGCATCAGGAAGAGAAGTACAGGGTGCTCAAAAGTTGAACATTAAAATATGGAGAATCTTAAGACTGCCTTAATGCCGAGATTATATTGCGACAAAATCCATGCAAATGATAATATAATATCCTCCGCGACATACTGGTTTGAGAAGGAAACTTGGACTTCCTGTTTTCCATGTCTTTCCCGTCGACAAACGAAGCGTTCAAACCTATGAGCACAAAATAGTTTAAGATTCAATCTGGGTCATGTCTCCAAAATTAAGCCATACTTGGAACTGACGAATCGCTTTCGAGGACACGAGTCATTCATGAAGCATACCGTGCCATCCCTAAGATGCAATTCATGCTCTGACTTCACTTTTCCCTTTTTCCCTAACTTTTCTCCTCTTAAACCGTGCATCTGAAAGAGAATGGAGTGGAACGTGTCTCCTTGGAATGCATTCTAACTTTTTTTAAAAGGGTTTTTGAGGGACTATGGCAGTCTTTGCCCGTACCTACGAAAATGTGTGAACATTTTGAGGGCTCTCTGGAGGATTTTTTAGTATGTTTTCATGTTTGATACGTGCACCTCTCTTCGCAATAGCCAGATTTTTAAGGCCAGTGTTGCACGAGGATAATTGAAAGGAGTAAGAAATTTCCTTTGTAACTTTTATATAAATTTTCTGACAATCAAGAAGCCGCTCTAGTTATTTTTCTAATTTCCCAAATGTATATGCAGTAATTTAGGCTAATATCTTGACTTCTTTCCAAACAGGTAAAGATGTCAATGATATTGATGGAAAGGAAACTAATTAAAACTCCTAAAGGAACGAGTCCCTTTCTGAGATGAACACAGCATCTAAGAAATTCATCTGAATTCGTATCTGGCAGACACCGATGAAAATGCTGCAAACGGCAGTCAATTTTAATATGAAATTGCTGATCCGGTCTCTTCCTGTTCTTGTGCGGGTTAGTACTTTGGTCTTTTGGACCTTATTTTGATTTTCGTCTGATTTTCCCGCTTTTGTATTGATTTCATTTTGACCCAAAACCAGGAGTCAGGAAATTTCTTTTACAAAAGGAAAAATTGACCCTGCGGATATTTTCAAAGATGATAGGACCAGTCTCAATCATTTTCTGTTCTTTACTGCAGACTCGCCTCTTTACCGTCACATAAGGGAAAAGTGAGATCCAATTTTAAGCTTTAGAATTCCTCTCATGAGTCTACGGGAGGGAGCTCTAAGTCTTCCTTCCTTGTTTTTGGAAACGTGATCAGAAATGATTCTAATTCTGTTTGCGAAAATCGAAGATTCGGAAATCTCTCATGATTATATCTCCGTTGAAAGACACAGCCACCTCAGGACTCACTCTTGATCAAGCCCCATATAGACTTCCGGTACTTGACTTGGCCAAAGAGGAGGAGCGAGGATTGAGATGCAGATATACGAGTAATGCAGAAATGTAAATGAACAAAGAAGCTGTCGCCATAAGGGATCCCATGAGTGTTGACCTCACAATCTACTGCATACAGATACCCTGGTCTAGAGGCTTTGTCCAGCACCTGAAATCATGCAGACAAGATCATGAAAATATTCCCCGTGTACCGTAATCTTTAATTTGTAATTCGATGAACAAAACCACTCCCAAGAAATGGAATTTTCTTATTCTGTGAGTTAGAGGGGTGAACATTTCTCAAAGTATCGGTGGTTATAACTGTTTGGATTGTGCGTAAAAAAATATCCAGCTCTCATTTTCACGAAAGGATGTTTTAAATGATTTAAGATTTCGTGGTAGATTGTTCATGCATGGATTCCCGTGTGAATCACTTAGGTAACACGCAGCAGTGCTTGCATGAATGTAAAATCAATGCCAGAGTGCATAGTGGTGGTAAGGGATTCCAGATCTTCCGATGTGATTCTATGTGATCTTGTTTCGCACCGACCGGTTTTTGTCTTATATTTCGAGATATCCAATCAAGCAAACTTTAGAGATTATCTACAATGCGGCACAAAGCGTTTACCGCAATGATATAGACGTTACTTCCTGGAGTCCAAGAAGAGTAAGAAAGCGAACTCAAGTTCCCGACCTTTCGTCCTTCACGATCTCAAACGTAGAATAAAATATGATATTAGCACCAACCAAGTGAATCACCCCAAGTAAGAGCTGAAGCGAACAGCAAACTTTTCAGATTTGAGGAGAGGGAAACAATATTTAGCGAAAACACGTAAAACTTTCCATTCCCCATGGGCTATTACTTGTGGGAAAATCGTCATAGTTCCTCGTATGTTGTCCCATAGAAAAGACAAAGATGAGCTCTGTGGGACTGGACCTACCTGGTTTTGTTTGGACAACGCTGTCTTCGGACCAAGAGGATTGTTCAGTTGGACCTGACATGACAGACTGCGAGTCTTTTCACTCGTATTCTCGTCCTCTGTCCATTCGCCGAGGTTTACATCTGCAAAGAAAAATTAGCCAACAAAGGTAATGAAAAAACTTCCTTCTGCTAAGGTTTCTGTGACTGTCCATAGAATCACATCTTCCTGCCTTAAAAGACATTTATAATTTTCCTTGTACTCCATTCGCTACTTCTACCAATCCTTCACAAAATGGTCTAGTGCCAGTAAGGATCAAATATCTTTTTTTCTTGGTCGATATTACTTCTCTGAGATCAAAGAAGCCATTACGATAACACTGTATGACCGAAGCTCACCGAAAGATTCTCGAAGGGCTATGAAGTCCATTTGAAACTTGGAGGCAGTGAAGAGGAACTGGAAGACCGTGTCCACACTGACAGGCAACACGATATTTATAAACTGTCTCCCTTCGTGACTGGATGAACATCGGAGTGGTTCCGCATGCACAGCTGAAATGACAAACCCTTACGTTGCAAATCGTTGCTGAAAATTAAGAGATATTCAGTCCAGTTCCTGAGATTTATCCTGTCAAAAATAACAATCTCCATATAAGATGAGACGGGCATTTGGTGATGATTACTGATGATTTAGTCACTGGTACAGGTACTGGTACAATCCGTACAATTGAATGAGAAACTTCAACCTACAGTACATTGGCCATACTCCAAACATAGTAATTATTATTATTACCTACATCTTATGCATATCTCTATACCGTTGCAAAGGTAAATGCCACTTAATCTGCTGGCCTTTGCCAACGTTCCTGCAAGAATGAGCAATCCTTCTCTTTACGATGTTCAGCGGCTTCAGCGTCCTCAGCAAAGTCGGAAATCGGAGCCTCGGGAGGATATCCACGCCTTGGACCTTTAACGGAGACAGAGAAACTGTTCTTCCAACGGCGCGACAGGGACGGCGAGTGCTTCCTTGTCGCGTAGGCAGCCAGTGAAGGCTCACTGATGATCTTCCTCATCTTCTTGGAGGAGAAGGATACTACAGCTAGGCAGAAAATGGCACCAATGGAAACGGCCACAGGGATCAGAAACATCTCAGGCTAATCCCAGCCTCGACTGGGAGACCCTGTGATGGAGACGTGACGGATAAACCAGAAGCATGGTGACGAAGCATGCTCTATCTGGCTTTCTCTGCAAGGTGACTCCATTCCCTTATTGCTCATGCTTACTCTTGGGGAAAATTTTCGCTTCTCTCATCTTTCTTTGCTTTTAGATTTTTTTTATTCCTTCCAGTCCCCACTCAGCTGCAGATTCCACAATGGAAATGGGAACGAGACCGCGAATAAATTAGTTGCTGTTTAACATTTTCCCATCTACTACAAGCAGATGATGATTCATCAGAATTCCCTTCCCTAGAAAGTAACGGGAGATAGTGGAGATTGTATTTGGACAAGGACGTAACATAATCGGAGAATTTCCTTCATTTTGGTAGCCAATCAAATTCAGGAGGTTGATGAAGGCCGGAGGCTCTCTACCTCTATTTTTCCTACACAAGTGTTGTGCGTCACGTCAAAATCGTAAGTCATGATGACATAGAACAATACGTCAAAGTCCTAAGAAGCTCTCTGCGATGGTATTCATGAGAAATTGTCGGAAAATAGCATACATTGCATAAAACCCATTCGATCCGCCCTCCTGAACGCGAAAACGAGGGTTATGTGACTATATCCTGACCCTGACACGCAACGAAAATAAATGGGCTGGATTTCTTTTAGGCGACAATGATGACGTCATCTCTCTTCCGTCCTCGTTACCGGCCCGCAGTCGAGACCTACAAACTCAAATGCAGGTGCTAAATTACCAGTTCTGCTTTCCATTCTCAAGTTCCCTGTTGCACGTCAAAACTGCTTAGAATACAAAAGAAGAAGACTGAACGAATGATAATGATCCTTTTGACCAAGTGATTCAGCACGACGATGCCAATTAAAAATAAATATTGTGGGTGCGATGAAACGAAGGTCATTCTAAAAGTTTCCGGATGTGGCCTTCCCTCAGGCGGAGAATTTTTCTTTGAAGAAATACAATCAGACAATGAGAACAAGCACATGAAAAAAGTTGCCTTGAACTGGTTTTATAATTTTTTTGCACTTTCATGTCCAAGAATTATTTGAATTCCGGGTGAATTTTTCACGTTAACACTTCCGAGCAATTATTTTCTATTACAGTCGACTCTGCATATTGGAATACTCACGGGACCAACGAACTTTATTCTCTAATCCGGAGTATTCCTGCGGCATCGTTACCGTAAATTGGGACCTTACAATGGTATTCCATTGAGCCGTATTCCCTTATGCGGCGTCTTCTGTTCCTCAAAAGTGGACTTGGCCGAAAGAAGAACCTTGAACTCCTACAACAGACCTTTGGAGAGGAAGCTCTTTCTCGTAATGCAGTGTTTGAGTGGTTCGCAGCGTTTCGGATGGGAAGGGTGTCCTAGAAGGATGAGCCTCGCTGTGGTCAGTCGCAACCTGCATTCACAGATGAAAGTGTGACCACTGCACGGAAGAAGGACATTCGAATTACATATGAGGATATTCAGGTACAACTTGATGTTGGGTCTGGGGCAGCAGTGAACGAGATCCTGCACAGACATCTTGGGCTGAGGAGGATCATTAGTCAATGGGTCCATCATTATGTCACCGGAGGTTAGGGTGGAATGCTGTGAATTATGCTCCACAAATTTAACCATGGATCTTCAAAAGTCGTCTATAACATCAGCACAGGAGATGAAACCTGGATATATCAATTAGACCCAGAGAAAATGCATCAATCTATTGTCTGACTCTTCCCATGTGACCCAACCCCTACCAAGGTCACGTAACCCAGAAGTTTGGAAAGGCAAATGGTCACATATCAACCGTACTTCTTCAGGGTGAAAAGGCTGTGACCTCAGGGCCGGATTAAGGGGGGGGGGGGGGGGGGGAAAGGGGGCAGTTGCCCGTGGCCTCACTCTTCCAGGGGGCCCCCGAAGGAAATTAAAAACGTNAGGGGGCCCCCGAAAGGAAATTAAAAACGTTAAGTTCAAAAAAAGGTATTGTATTTGCGTAAAGTAGCTGGGGGGGGGGGGGGGGGCCCCAAGAATTCACTTGCCCCGGGCCTCGTAACTTCTTAATCCGGCCCTGTGTGACCTCGAAATGGAACCCAGAATCCTGCCTTCTGAAGGTGTTCGAATCTCTAAGGAATCGTAGACCCAACTCATCCTTGAAATCATTGGTGCTCCATCCTGACAAGGCGACTTGTCAAGTAGCCGCTCTCATAGGATTTCCAACAGGAGTCTGGCATGAGGCATGAGGTGCATGAGGATGTTCCCACACCCACCCTGGCCCCATATGGGTATTTTCCTTTTTCCTTTTCTTTCTTCTTCAAAGGGGCTAAAGAATTGCTGAGTGGATGATGTTTTCATTCCCCAGAAGTGGCAGTTGCTGAATTTATTTCGGTAATCTTGGGTATTCCAGCATTTGAGCGGGAAACTTTGCTTTGAAAAATGGAGAACTGGCATCGACACTCAGAGAGAATAAACCGGAAAGATGTAATTATTGAATGAAGCCGAGCTGTTTTCTATCGTCTACATTCAAATCGATTCAATTTGATATCAAATTGATATTTAAAAACGCAGTTAATTATACAAAGAAATATGAGACGTTCGACATATGTCGAAATAGTAGAAATGATAAAAACCATTTCCAAGGTTTCCGTTTTGTCCAGATCCTTGTCCTTTGTATAACGTCCATCATGGTGGAAGTGATTGTATGCCGCCAATTTTTTTTAATGAATCCTCGAAAAAGAAATTAGTACGCAAGTAACTTAAATTTTCAAAGTTTTTATTATGGGATTTAGTTTTTGGACTTTCCATGTCAAGAACCGAATGGGGAGGAAACGTGGAAGGAATAGCACGACGAAAATATTTTAAATAGTTGAGGCCCTTGCGTAACGATCGGGCTCACATACTCCTCCATCTCCCCGAAAATCAGACTCTCTGTAACAAAAAAGATATCGCATGATTCTTTGGTTCCTGCGTTCTTGGAAGGTTTTAAGGACCTCTCAGTAAAAAGATGATTAAAAAATTATCTGCGCTGCTTGTGATAAGCCCTCAGGATGAGCCAGGAGATAGTCCGCAGTGGAGATTTTTCAAATCTGAAAAAGTCTGAATGCCAATATTGAACAACTTAAATGATATCTGACGCTAAGTAAAACACAAAAATGCATCATGATAGACGAATTGCACTTGGTTGTTGCCATAAACTTCAAATACATGATGTCCATAAAGTGGTCACCGATGGGCAACTTTTAAAATACTAAATTTGGGGGAACCCATCTTTTTCATTTTTTATAGCCTGGTTAACGATAGTCCTCGGAATGTTGTCATATCTCTCGTTCCTCCACATTGGTGTGATTGGTGTGATTAATTTACCTGGCCCTTGTTTCAATTGCAGATATAAAAATATTGAATACAGTATTCCAAAACGAGTGAGAGAAAGGCCTCTTGTGGCGTGTGCCAAATAAGTGACAGAATTCTCGCTGATGTTGGCGATATTGCGAATGACCGGAGCTCAGAAATGTCAGAAAATCGGCGGTTGACACGTTGAATCCTTCTGTCTTGTAAACTCCTAATTTTCATGATTTTGAAATTCAAAATACTTCATTATTCAATCAATATCATCATGTTCACAAGAACTTGGTGCAATGAGGTCAAATGGCAAATTTTTATTTTGAATTCTAGGCTCCATTTCTTCCTCTAATATCAATAAAGAAAAATGCCAAAACAGCCTATATGAGAAATTAATTCTCAGTCATGCCAAAGTGAGTAATATGAGACAAGAGCTGATACTATTCGCAGGTCAGTTCGTTTTCAGTCTACATAAAAAATGGCTAAATTGAGGAGAGCAGTGGCCATCGCGGTTATGTCTTTCCACGGAGATTTTCTGGTACTTGAGAACTTCTGTCAAGTCTGCACTCGATGACATCTTCCTACTAGACACCAGATCATCTCTTTTATCGACCTCTGACGCATCATAGAATCAGCATTGATTCCACAAGTCATGAAAAGGAATTACTCACTGTTACGCGATGAGGGGACTGCGCGAAAGTATCACTTGATCCTCCATGCTCCTCAGTTGGAAGTAAAGATGCACGTTGAGGATCAGGAGCCCTATGAGTAGAATGGCAATCAGTTTCAAGACATCAGAAGATGAATTCGCCAATCTCTCCTCTTTTCGTAGTAACCTTGAATCTATCTTCCAATGTCCTAGAAGAGTGAAACAAATCAGTAAGTTCATGTTTCTTGAAGGTTCTTGCGAAATATGGGCCCGAGACCAGAGTCAAGCAAAACATACATTGAAAGCGATTTCCTCTGTCCACATACATTTTGTACCTTTTGCTGATATCAGGAAATATATTTCCTTCTCTTCAGCAAGTAAACAGAGACCTTCAGCCTTTTTTTCGAAGATCGATATCGCGGCCTCGAGATGATGATAATTCGAAATTGAGACCTTCGGTTTCTCTATTCCTGTGACTTGAAAAATCACGATTCATGTTCTTTTCATTTCAGGAAGGAAGCAGAAACGGCAATGAAAATGAAGGAGAGAGGATGATGAAGTAATCAAGGCTAATAAGTAACAGGCACTGTATAATGTATCTGCCGATGAAGACCTTCAAGTAACCTTCAAGTTCCAGAACCTGCAGTGCTGCCAATGCCATTATTATAAATAATTATAATAATCAAAACGTTACACCGCTATGTCCAAAATATCACCTAAATACATCTCATTTATAATTAATTTTGAACCATTTTTCTTGATTTTGCAGCCCGCGATGTCCGCAGAAGTAAGAAATAATTTATTTAAAGTGAAGTCCCCCTATGGAGAAAGTTGAAGAAGCTATGGTCAGCTCGAAGAGCAGAAAGTCACTTGGGGTGGACGAAACCCGGGCAAAGACGCTGAAATCAATGGGAATAGATAGGAGCTTGTGGTTGCATAAGATATATCGAACCGCATGTTAATCGGGTACGGCACCTCCTACCTTTTGGCGGACCGGTGTGGCAGCTTCTGTTTTCAGGAAGGAAGACTCAAGGAAGTTAACTAATAACCATGGAGTCACTCTTCTCAGCATAACTGGTATGGTCTATGCCATGGGTCCCCAAACTTCCCCCCCCCCCGAATTTACGAAAATGCGAAACGCGCATTTTTGGGTTTGATGAAGTCGCGGTCTAGATTCGACCCATGGGTCTCCTTTTGAAAATTCCTGGTCAATGAGCTACAATTTGCTTTCGGCCTGTATTAATTAGCACCGAGGGCAGTATCCGGCCCGCGTGCCCTAATGGGGCGATCCCTGGTCTATGCCAATGTGCTCGAAATGAGTACGTGCGGTCGTTGGTGAAACCATCTATTAATAAAAAGAGCAGAGCGAATTTCGTGAAGGGTGCGGCACCACCCACCAGTTTGTCACTCGTCACCAAGTTCTCATGAGACATTGGGAATATGCCAAGGAGGTTTACATGTGTTTGATGAATCTCGGAATGGTGTACAATGTGTACTCCGAGTGAAACTTTGGGAAGTGCTGCAGGGGTGTGGGATCAACTGTTAGCTACGGCGGGCCGTACAGTCCTTATACAGTGATTGAAGGAGTT